CTGTGTTGACAAGGGCCTCACTATTACAAATGTTTAGGTGCATGCTTAATTTCAAGCATGAGAAGTCCCAGGGCCTCTTCAAATGCTTACAGTTAAGCATGTGCCTAAGAGTGTGAAGGATCAGGGCCTATATTTGTAAGGCAAAGAGGCCAAAATGAGGCTGAAGGCACCAGATTATATGTGCTCTGTTCTGCTGAGGGAAGCAAAGAGGCTCCAGCTAGCCTATGACTCAGTTCTCCTGCAAGGGTAGACTCATCCGCTTGCTGAAGGAATGTTTGTTTTTTTTCTGTTAGGGAGGTGAAGAGGGAAAACAATCTTTAGGGAAACACAGGGAATAAGAGAGGGCAGTGTATAGAGAGCACTGCACTGACAGGAGACCTGGATTCTATTCCTGGCTTTGCTACTGACCTGCCATGTTACCTTCAGTAAGTCACTTCACCTCTGTATCTCCCCCTCCCAACCTTGGTCTGTCTTGTCTATTTAAATTGTAAGCTCTTCAGAGCAGAAACTGTTTGTAAAGCACTTAGAATGATGGGTACCTGGTGTGGATTGGGGCCTAGTTTAGCCATTTAAAATAATAAAAAAAGAGAAAGGGGAAAATAGTAAGAAGAAAGTAGGAAATACATATGGAGATACAAAAGATGAAGGTTCATAAGGAACAGTTGAGGCATGGAAAGGAAAAATATAGCCTGAAAACGTGTATTCTAACTATAAATAATAGTATGAGGGAAACTGTGAACAAGGTGGAAGAGATGAAGACACCCAGCCATAGTGTTAAATTGTATCCTCTTGTGGTGACACCAGTGGAGGTTTGGCAGGCCTGTAAACACTGCATAATGATTCTCATCCACTTTCCTTGAATCCAGAAGGTTCTGAGGTGCTGCATAAGATGCAACAGCCTGCCAACTCTGTGGGTTTCAAGTGGCCCTCCTGCACTGGTCCTGTGGCCCGAGTTACCATTTCTGATCTGAAGGGGATATTCTATAGCTGTTCTGTTGTGGATGGAAACCTCTTCTTCCTTCAGTGTATGCACATAAATTATGGTTAATGTTAAAGTGTTTGTTTTCGGGGAGGAAAATAGGCCCTCCACTGTATAATTCTACTCCAGTGTTTCCTAACCTGGAGGATGCCAAGCTATGCCTGGGGCTGTGGATAGATATAGGCCACAGGAAAAGTGCAGGAGCCTGTTCCACCACTACATGATGCTGTACCTGCCTTACCCTTCCTTCCCCCCACAGCAAATATGCTTCCACAGCTGTGTATAAAGCCTAACAACGATAAAGCATATACTCCCTATAGCTGTCTTACGGCCTTCTCTCTCTCTGCTCACGCAACAATGGTCACATGTAGCCACCACAGTAGAAGCTCCCACGGCTCCAGAGCCTGCAGGCTCAGGCAGACGCTAGCTAGCTCAAGCTTTTCTTTTCCCATGCCAACGCACTCAGCACAGACAGGAAAGCACCCTTATGCCAGCCCTACAGAGCAACCAAAGGCCACCTCTGCCCCACAAGCAGCCTCTGGTAGTGGTGGAATGGATAGGGAGAGGAATAATAAAGGGCCCACTCCTGTACCCATGGAAGTCAATGGACTTCCCAGCTGGCCTCAAAAGAGGAAAATACAAACATAAAACATAGAAAGGGGGGGAAAGAGAGTGGGGACAAATGATAGGATATACCGTGTTAATTGTGCCAAAGCATAGCTACTGGGGTACCACGGTACAGTGAGGGGCACCTAAACAACAAAACCCAACAATGGGATCTTCTCGTCTAGGCCCCAAATTCATCAGCATGTAACACCCAGTCAGAATTCTGTATCTGTGAAGAGCCCCAGTGACTCAAGTAAGGCTCTGCATGGGTGCAGTAGTCCATTCATTTGGAACACAGTCCAGGATCAGGGCCCTACTCTTTGGATTCTTTATTCAGATTTATAGAAATGCTTAAGAGGCTGCCTGGTCATACATTCTAGGCACCCTTGACATAACTTTAAAAATACAAGTTCAGCACAGCAGTACAATTTAAGATACTCCAAGGTGGTGGGCTAACTTAAAAATGCAAATCTCACACACACAATTCCTCACTGACTCTTCTTCCACCTTATAACTCTTGACAGTAGTGTGTGAACATCAGAAATATCTCCAAATGGGTGTTGTGAAAAATCCATCTGCTTAAAATAATATACACAAAACATAGGAAAGACATTCACTATCTCCCCCCCTCCTCCCATTGTTTATAAAAGGTGGCAGAGTGATAGCCCTAGAAAATTAAAGTCCTCTCTTGCAATATATGATAGGTACATCAAGGGCAATAGAACTCAAGCTTCTTATACTCCATACTACTAATGCACCTCAGTTCACTTGTGGAAGGACCATCTATCTCTAAGGGTGGTACTTTAGAGATAGATGATCCTTCCACAAGTGAAGGGTGATATGGTACCTTAGTTTCTATGGGAAGTGATTTTCCACTGACTTGCACCTTATGGAATCATTTACACCTGTGCAAAGTGGATGAAAATTTACATTCTAATTAGTAGCATTTGACATCCATTTTGCAGAGGTGTGACCAACCACATAAGGTGCAAGTGGGGAATCAGGCCACATAGATTCGCTTCTTTGCTGAGATTGCCAATAAGGGCACCAGTTGTAATGTAGAATCCTATTATGAACTGGAGCAACATCATCAATTCATTTCACATACACCACCAAACAGCCGCACTAATTAATTTTGTTCAGTAATAACCTTGGCTGGATTTGAACTGGTGATCAAGAAGTGAAAGGTGCCATGATACAATATTAATCCCCATGCTGTAAGGCAGTAAATAAGGTACAGGTACTAGAACTGGCACATAGGAACTTTAGGTTCTATTCCCAATTATGCCACTATTTAGCTGTGGCCTAGTTTATTTAACCTCTCTATGCATTAATTTCCACGTCTGTAAAAATGGAGATAATACTGCTTACCTACCTTTGTAAAATGTTTTGAGATCTATGTATGAAAATTACCAAATGTGCTAAGAACTATGGCCAAAATTTCCAAAAGTGACTAGTGATTTGGGATGCCTTGATTTTTTTACTGTCCGGCCTAAGATACCTAAATTGGACCGGATTTTCAGAGGATGACTCTCAGCCCTCAGCACTTTCTGAAAATCAAGAATGAAAACATTAAGTTGGGCACCCAAAAACCACTAGTAATTTTGAAAATCTTGGCGTATAATTCGTATTCAATTATCATGTCCCCAGCCATCCTTATTTACAACAAGAGCAAGAGTATGTGGTTTTACTATGCTGTTTAGAATTTTGCCCTTCTCCTAAGAAGAGTGTGATGCAGTGAAGGCCAAGTGTATCTCTTAGCCACAAAGAAATTAATATATATTTACACACATATACCCTCCTACAAATCTACTTTCTGTCATTTTAGTGAGATACATCATAATAAATAACTAATTTTAAAATGTTTGTAACTAAGGTGCACTGGAATAAAAGCAAGGAGAGGCCAAACAATAGGGAATGGGAGTTGAGGGGAATCAACCCCTTTATTATGAAGATCCCAGCAGTGGGAGCAGGTGGAGAGGACCAAAGGATAAAAAAACGCTCTTATATCTTAAAAATAAATGAATATGTTATCTGCATGAAGCTGTCACTCCCATTTTATGCTATTAGTTATTATTTATGATTTTGCCAAATGCTGCTTGGAAGACATAATCCTAGCCCCAAAGAACTTGCAATCTGAGGGACAGTTTCTGTAAATCATAAAATAAATGACACATTTTGTCTTTTAAAAATACTTAAGTAAAGTGCAGATGCCACAGGTTATCAGACATAATGAACAATAATACGGTGAATCAGGTTACAGAGAATGTTTTCCTTACAATTATTTTGTTTAATTTAAACAGAAAAAGGAGCTTTTCATAGTTGTAAGACGTGTCAGCAGGTTTTTCGAGGCTCAATTGCAACAGTGATGCAGTTACACCAAAAGTTGCTGGTGTCATACTGTTGTTTTGTTTGTGAAGGTCTGAGATTAAAAATAAATGTCTAGATTTACTTCACATCCATGTAAATGGTAATCTGTGAGAGACTCTTACAGGACTGCATGCATCACAGGGGAAAGAACATATGTATGGCATGCTGTGTAGATTGTTTTGTTATAATCTCCTAATTTATTTAATCAGCTTCAGTTTCCATATTAACCACTAATTTTAAAAAACAACATACTGTTTATGTTAAATTGGTAAAGGCCTCTGAAACACCTTTTGGAGAGAAAGATTATTAACACAACATGCAGTACTAGTCCTTCATAGTATCGCTTTGCAATGTTATTGTCCGAAACCCTTTTGATAGTTCAGTGAGTAAATGACCATTTCAGCAAACTGTTTATCTTCATTGTTTTCAGACCAGTGTGATGGGATTGATTTTCTGTATTTACTTACTAACTAGTCATTGACTATATGGATGCATTTCAGCCTTTCTGAACTTCTCTGTTCTGTATGTTTTGGCCTCTGAATGAATTCATCCCGAGTAAAAATAAAAAAGAGAGATAACCAGCAACAACTGAAATCCTGCCTTTTGCTACTTGTTTACCAGCTCAGACTGGCAAATCATAACACAAAGAATTGCTCTTCCATGGGGCACTATACAGTGGCAATAAAAAAACCCACTTCGGTATCCAGTGGAGTCGTAGTTTATTACCACAACCCTCCCAAGTCAACCAATGGACACCAGTTTCAAGCGTTTTAACTAGTGCAGATCATCCTTGCTCTCACTGACCTGAGTTTGCTGGTCCTTCTACCTGCCCTGCTAGGCTGTCTACAGGTCCTGAAACATTAGTAAAAGAAACGAGATGATCTTTGTGTGTGAGTGTGTGCATATGAGTGTGTGTGTGCGTGCGAGTCTCTCGCTCTTTGGGTGTAACAGGCCAGCTGTATGGCTGGCAAACCTGTCCCTCAGTCCCTGAGCCAATCGCAGGCTGCCTTATATAAAAATGAATGTTTTCAGTCTCTCCGGGTTGCATGTACTGTATGTGGAGCAGTGTACGGTGAAAACCGAGGCTCTGCTGAGTGCTCTTCTCTTCACTTTCACATAGAGAAACACTGACTGGCCACTGAAACATACACACACACAGACACACAGAGAGGTAAGTGCACACAACCCACAGCCTTTCCCTTCGCAATCCAGGCAGGAGAGGTGCCCTCTTCACACACTTTCCTTTCTATTACTCACTTAACAGCACTGGGGCAGCCCCCAAGGACTCCTCCAGCAGCAGCAGCCGGTAGGGTGGACTTGGAGGCAGGCAGAGACCTTTACATGTCCTGGGGTGCTGCTGCCACGATTTCCAGTCACTTTTCCTCCCTCTTTTCACCCCAGCCTTCATTTCAAACTTTGGGTGGGGAGGGGGTTTGTTTCTGTCGCCTCCTTTCCTCGTTAAAAGGCCGGGCGTGGAGGGGGGGGAAGGGGAGGTGAATTGCAATGCAATGCCTAAGGAAAAAAAATACACCAGGGGTAGGCCAGCCAGTGCCAGGCTGCGTTTGAACCAGTACCTCTCACCACAGAGAGGCAAGAGCAGCAGCAGCAGCAACAACGGAGGAGCGAGGGGTGGGGGAAGAAGCTGAAATAGAGAGGAGGGATAACAACAACAAACCAGCCACACCGGCTGTGCGTTTGTGGGGGGCTTGACAGGGAAATCGCGGCAGCCAGAAACGAAACTTCATTCCAGGGGCCGGTGGGGGAAAAAAGTGCGTTGATTTATTTTCGGGGCCAGGTTTCTCTGTGGTTTTGTGTCACTTAAAAAAGAGAGAGAGAGAGAGAGAAGCCAATAACCACCAGGCTCAGTTGTTCGCTTTGAGAGTTGGGAAGCTATATTTTCCGGTAGAGCCATCCGTGCGATGCACTCCTTCCCTCCTCCCCCCCATGTTGTAATTTGCTAGAGAAAAAGTGGGGCTAGTGCAAGCCGGGGAGGAAGAAAGAATAAAGGGGAGCGGGGGAGGGACGGAGGAGGAGAGAGGCTGTGTCAGGATTTTGCATGAATGTGGGATTATGTTGTGTCAATAAGTTTAAGGTGGAGAGAGAGAGGCTGGGGGGGAAGGAAGGCCTTGGCTGTTTAAAGTCCTATTTCTGAAGGTAAGTTGTGACATTGGATGGTCGCGATGACAGAAAACTTGGAGATAATTTGCCCAGGGAGGGGGTTTGTGCCTTTAGTGGGGGTTACTCAGTCATCAGAAGCCAGATTGGTGTTAAACTGTTATTTGCTGCTGCGATATCGGGTCGCTGGTAAATTACAGAAATCAGACTCTTTCCCCCCCCCCCTCCTCGTTTCTCTCTCTTCCTCCTCTCTCTGTTATTTGCAATGTATGAAACTTACATGGCTGGGAGGAGAGAACCGAGCCAGTGTAGGTTTGCAATGGGGGAGGAAGGGAGGGAATAGCATTGATCCTGGGATCTGTAAAACAGCAGGTTTGTGTTTAGAAATATCTTTTTACAGCCCGCTGCCGCTGAACGAGGAAGGTAAAATGAAACGATGCAAAAAGAAGCTGAGACAACATGTACGACAGAGACAGAGCGAGTGAGAGGCACAGACAAGCTATTTTTTGCTTTCCTTTTCTGTAGAAAGGGGAAAGAAAATGCCTGGGTCTCTCCCACTCCCTGTGAGCAATGGCTTGCTGCTTTTATTTTAACTGTGTGAGGGGCAAATTAGCGACTTCTCACGAGAGGATCTTGTTTAAAAGTTTTTAAGAGGTGAGAGAGTATGTGTTGGGGAAAGAGGGGGAGCCCTGTGGAAGGTGGTGGCGAGAAACCAGCTAGGCTGCTGAGGATGGTCACTTGGCCTGGGGCTTTGAAACCATTGCCTCTCCTACTAATGACACGTTCAAGTCCCAGATCTAGGCGCAGCAGGGGTGGGGGCAGCTTGCCACCTTCTCAGCCCACTCCTCGATATTAACACGCTGTGGAGATGGAGCAGGGACAGGAGTCTAGGTCTCCATGTGGCTCTTTGCAGCAGCAGCAGCACCTCCTCCCCGGTGGCAGCAGCGGGATCATCGCCCGGGCCCGCGGGGAGGAGGAGGGGAGCAGTAGCAGGGAGGTGTTTTTTGCCAGTCTGATTCACCAAATCTCGTTGGGGAGGGAAAGCTGGAGGACTGTGGGGAGCTGCCCCGTCGTCGTCCCCCATTCTCCCCCTGCCTCCCTCCCCTCCTGAAAGGTGTTGTGCAGACTTTTCCCCCTGGGAGGGTGAGATTTGTGCATTACATTATTGCTCCTCTCCTCCCCCCCCCAAAGCAAGATGGACTCTCTTCTCTCTCTCTCTTTCTCTCCCCCCTCTCCCTGTGTCTTGTCAGCCTTTAAGATCGACATTTTGTAACTAAGATGCAAACTTGATGGTGACCAGGAGGAAAAAGGGAAAGCCGTGGGTCAGTCTAGCCTCTCTCCATATTTAATACCTTTCCTTTCACCCCACCCCAGAGCCCGGATTCTAGTGGCTCTATACTTTGCACAGGGGGTGGGTAGCGGTGGTGGCTTGCAAATGCATTTCCCCATGCACTGTCTGGATTCAGGTCTCTAATCTCCGTGTGGATTGCGATGGTGGAGGGGCTTGTTTGGCGATTTCAGGACTCTCTAGATCTGGAAAAGGGGAATGGGCATTACCTGAAACAGTGCTACAACGTTGCAGCCGCCTCTCTCTCTCCCTGTGTATATCTCGTACCTGAAATCTGGGCTTGCTGATTTCCTAATATTATTATTACGTCGCTGAATTTATCCACGCTGGGGATTGAGCGAAAGCACTTGTGTAAATCGTTCGGCTTTATTGTGGTTTATTTTTGTGACCAACTTTCTGCCTTTTATTTTGATACATCGCAAATTTCATGGTGAGAGAGAGAGAAAATAACCCACCCCGCTGATGCACACTCAGATGATTTGTTCCATTTGCCCAGTCCTAATGCCCTTTAAAGACATGGTGCATCTTTTGTTTGCTGTTTAAGGTTTCCTGCGACTGTCAACCTGCTTCCCGTTTTAAGGAGAACTTATACGAGGGGGAGGGGTGTGTGAGGAGGAAGCAAGTTTCAAGTTTTGGGAATTTCTCCTCTTGTTGGCGTTGTGGCGAGTTGCAATATTGTAAAATCATGGTGTACTGATGATGTGCCTGTATTTGATACTTTATAGGTCACTATCACATGACAAAGGCTTCGAGACAGCTTCATCTTCCTCTGTCTGTAATTTCCATTTGCCTTCCTGGGTAAGTATGTAAACTGTACAGGGGGGAAATAGTGTAATTGTTGTTAATGAGATACAGGCTATCTTCTCATTCCTTTTCATGGAGGAGATGCTTGTTCAGGTTTTAGCACCTCAGAAAACATGTCTTCTTTGGGTGCCCACGGGAACTGTCAGATTACAAAGTTTGTGTGTTAGGAATGCAAGGGGATGAGTATTATGAACATGAAAATTAGAAGGCCCTCAGTATTGGGATCGTATTAGCTCATTTATGAAAGAAAAGCCCCTGGCTTTCAAAGAATAGTTGAATTATGGCAAAAGTTTTAAAACAATGATTGGAATATGAAAAGTGCAACTTTGTGAGCTAAAAATTTATTAACCATATACAGCCTGTGAAACTTGAGGCTGGCAGTAGAGATGGGAAAAATATGAAGAGGCTTATGTTTAAGAAATCTAAGAGTTGTCTTCTAGGAGTTGGGGGATAGTTGTAATACTAGGGTGACAGGCATTAACTTGGTTTTAACATGCAAATCCCACTTTCTTGGTAATTCTTGTGCTTTCTGTATCTCTTACCATTTCTCTTCCTGGGATTGGTTAACACAGGTAGCTACTGAATTTGAAAGACAAATTTTAGTGATTAAATTGCTAAAATTTCCAAAGTACTTTTAGGAACCAGAGCATTTTTGTTCATTTGCTTTGGAAGAGTTTGACACTATTGAACCAACATATTGTACTTGTTTCAAACAGAGGTTTGAATCTGTGGGGCCAAATGAAGAGCTGGTATAAGTGGGTGTAACTCAAATAGTGTCAGTACAGTTGAACCCACTGACAGTGGTCTGAATTTGGCCCCGATGATGGAAAAACATAGCAACATTGCAAATATTGAATATATATAATTAAAAAAACCCCAACACACACATTTAGGAGGTGAGTTTAGTTCTCATAAAAGCTCATTAATAACACAGTCTTGATCTTCAGCAGCCCCTGTCTGGCAAACATGAGGTATGTGATGATCCCAAATAGGCAAAGGAGGCTGTTGGGAGTCGCTGCTTTTGTGGGATCTTTTGAAATGGCTGCAGCCACAATACTAACTAGTGGGATACTGGCACCAGAGAGACTGTGCCCCATGACTTGTCAGAGTGTTGGAGGGAGGTAGATTCTGTTTCTTTTCCCAGTTCCTGCAGAGATTAACACCCACATTCCAATAATTCAGCCTGTATGGGGAGTAGTGAGTGGGGGTATATACATGCCTTTCATCCTTTGACATAACTATAATGTCGAAAGAAATTTAACACAAAATAAACTAATTACAATTTTATTACAAGACCAGTTGCACTGGAAAAATATAGTTCTCAAAAATTGCTAACCAGATTTTATAATCTTATTGATAAGAATCGCATTATGTGCAGAATAATTGATACAACAGTCTTTACAAAGTGAAATTGCATATAAAATTCAAAAGCTTACTGATAGGACCCAGACTGTTGCTCAAAGCTGAACACACACACACACACACACACACACACATATTTGACTTCAAATGTAAACAGAGAATTTTTATATATTATAATTCTGTACACTACAAAGGGCTTTCTCTTTATTTGGTATAATGGTGTAGGATTTTTGGGAAGAGCAGAACTTTGAGACCTTACATCATAACTGGCATTGTCCTATTACTGTCCTTGGTCCTAGTACTTAATATATAGCTTCCACACAATATTCAGATGTGTGGGTGCATAGAATTCTGTTCCATAAATAATGGGCTGATCGTGTTCTCCATATAGCTCTACAAGAACTGGACAGTTTAATTCTACTCATACTTACAGAATCAGTGTAAATGCAGCTCCAAATAGCATTGAAATGGTATTTACAAATTAGGAAGCAGAGAAATAGTAAAATATCCTAGTGAAGAGGAGGGAGTAATGGAAACTTTAAGGAAGCACTGAATAAATTTTTGTTGAAATTGAAAAAGTAATATAAAAATGTATCTAGTTAATGGTAGAATGGAGATTTCCTCAAGTTTGGCTGTTACCAGATACTTTCATTTACTTTTGGGAATTCTTCTGTTTGATGAAAGTAAAGATTTTTTTTTAATCACATGGTTTTAGGAGCTATAATCACTGTATAATTTGATTTTAAACAGAGTTTAGTAAACAATTTTCATACAAATCCCAATATAATGCATAGGGTAAGATTTTGATCTCAGTTACAAACTAATCTACAATACTCCCAATGAAGTCAGGTGTTGTGGGGGTGCACGGGTGGGGAATTGTTTCCTCCAGGATCCATGGGCAGAAGGACCAATAATCTCAGACACTGGTACATAATCTCAAACGTTGGGCATATCATCAACATACACGACTTGTCTGAATTACTGGAGCAAAATAGTAAATAAGGTTTCAAGTAAACACATAATTAAAAATAATGTAAAATCCTCTTTTTGGTGTTTTTGATCAGCACAGAATATTTTAGTGAGCAAATCTAAGACCTGTATTACAAACCTACTGCATGCCCATGGAAGTTACCTTCAGCAAAAGGCCTGTAGGAGAGACACATTCATTTATAGGTATCTTCCTGTCCAATGTCAGGAGGAAAGCCCTAATGTCTCCTAGTTGTTCTTTGAGTAATTAAAGATATTAAATGTCAGTTTTCTACATTTAATATCAGTGATAAAAATATTAAGTATAAAAATGATTTTCTTTCATCCCAAAGGATCTCAAAGCACCTTACAAACTATGACCCCAACCCAGCAGATCACATAAGTAATTTTAAGCAAATGAGTAGTCCCATTAAAGTCACTCATGTGGTTAAAATTATACCTGTGCCTAGGTGATCTGCTGGAGAGGGGGCCTAAATACTAACAACAGCACTGAAACATCGCCAACACTGGAGTGGAAAGTGACTGTCATCTTGCATACAACACACAATGTAACAATGTGAGGATAGGAAATTTCGGCCAACAGAATTGAGGTAAATCTTTCTTTTACATAATGTGCAAAAGGAGGATGTATACCCACAAAGTAGCTAAGTCCTCTGTTTTACTTTTTATGGTAGATCTATCGGTGCAAAGTAATTAGATACATGTGTGTATAGGTTGTTTATGAATCCATTCACCCAGCACCTGTGAGGTGAAACATGGCATCTGTTTAGCAGTGCATTGCCTCCATAATATTCAAGATTTCATGTATATTCAAAAGTGGTTTAGAGTGGAAGGATGGCATTATAGATTAGGCCCTGGAGTGGGACTCAGGAGATCTGGGTTCAATTTCTGCTTCTGCCACACATTACCTGTGTGACCTAGGATAAATGGTTTAGTTCAGAAAGTTTCAAAAGTGGCCACTGGTTTTGCCTGACTTAATTTTTCAGTGTGCTGCCTTGGGCTGAGCAGGCACAGTTCCAGTTGAGGTCAATGGGAGCGACAAGTGTTAAGATTGAGTCACCCTGAACTAGAGACTGCTTTTGAAAATGGAGGCTTTTATCTCCTGCTGCTTCACTTTTCCATCTGTAAAATGGAGACTATTAATATTTCCTTGTATCATAGGAGTGTTGGAACATTAAACTCATTCATATTTGTGGGCTATTACAGTGATGTGAGCAATAGAAGTACCTGTAGATAAATCACATAGTGCACATGCTATAGCACAGTTTTTCTTACTGATTATTATGTTTCATAATTACAAATGATATTACTCTAAATATCTTTTATGTTTCCTTTTTACTTAATAGGCCACTTAGCTTGATTTAAATACTTCAATTATAGGTATTAAAATTACCTCTAGAAAGTAAATCTAAAAAAGTCAACTTTCTTTCATTTAGAGTATAATTTATTTAGTTAGTTTGTTTCTGTGGTGTCTTGTTCAAACCCATTTTATTTTTCAATTTTATATTAAAATGTTATTAGTTCAGACCCCCATTTGTAGGTCCACAATAACAACCAGCTCTCTGAGTTTAGCTGATGGTTTCAGTTCTGTTGCTAGTGGACATTTGTCAATTTCACAAAAAAAGACTATCACAGCTGACATCCTCCTTGATAGTTTCAGAAGAGCCCAGGACTGAATGAGCATAAAGATTAAGCTAATTGTAGGAGTGAGCCACCAAGTCACTGTTGAACCACATTGGTGAGGCAATGTGGGGAAGTTTGCATTCACATTGCTGTTCTTGTTCTAAAAATAAACAATAATAATTAGCAGTGATAGGTCCTGATTCAGAAAAGCACTTACACCTGTGCTTCCAGCAAAGTACTTGAACCACTCTGTAGTCATAAATCTCAGAGGTGGGCCAGCATTATTATCTCCATTTTGCAGATGGGAAAACCGAGGTGTAGAGAGATGAAATGGCTTGCGCAAGGTCACAAAGCAGTCCAGCAGTAGACCCAAGAATAGAATCCAGATCTTATTCCTACACCAGTGCCCTGTTCCCTGGAACATGCTGCCTCCAAAGCCCTGATTCAGGTAGTTGCTTAAGCAGGTGCACTGAGCATGTGAGATGTCCAATTGACTTCAGTAGGACTACTGATATGCTTAAAGTTAGACACCTTAGGTACCTTTCTGAATTGGGGATTTGAATTTATAGGACGCCAGCTGTGTCTATTTGCTATTTTGCCAGTAATTCACTTAAAGTTACTAGCGCAAAAAAATAAAAAAAAATTGCAACTAATATTCAGCTGTAAGTTTCTCATTATAGTCAGATTTATGGACAGGAACTTCTAAATAGCCAGCAATTTATTAACCTGAGGCTTTTGCCTTTTCCGTTATGTGCATCAGTATTTAACCAACAGTGGATAATTTTTTACTTCCCAGCATCAAGTTTTAGAAGATGTTGCCTTGCAGGCACGTGGTAGTAAAAGAAACAAAATGTACTAAAACTCACCCTCCCCTACAATGAAATTATGTTAATATTTATAATTTATTTAATTTAAATCAGCATTAACTTTAATATGAAACATATAACTTCCTGAAGCAGCTACTTTGGCTATATGACCATATTTTGGTAAATAAAGGTGATTTAGCAATTTGAACTTTTACTTCTGAGCTCAGTCAAATATTTCAGCGTATCAGATATTCAGATTTGCTGGTTACTACTTCTTGACTGAGGATATGTTAGCTTTGATTTAAAATAAAAGCTCTCTTGGAGGAGAGGAAAAATAAATGCACCTATTTGTAGTGTGCGCTCACAATGATAGCAGTGCTTTATTATTTTTAATATTTATAAACTCAGTTACATAAGAGATTAATGAACAAAGAAAAAAACACACTTTTGACAGAGTTTCCAGCACTTCTACTTTCTTCTTCTCTAGCATAGATATGCATAATGTTAGAGCAGGTCCATATGATTTTTTTTTTTTTGTATGAATAGGAAACTTCAACAATTCAACATGTGAAAATATACTGGCTTCGGGTACCTCTGCCTGCAAGAAAGTTTAATGCAATGAAAACTTAGTCATTAGCAGGGGAAAGAAAGCTAACTGAACTTTATAAGAGTAGATTCAGATTGTTAGTTGCTTAGGAGATATAGAATTTTTTTTATAAGAAGAAGCCTTTTCCAATAGTATTTTGGTGGAAGAGATTTTATAAGTGATGTAGTTCTACACAGGTGAAAAAAATCACTTTGAAAATATGAAGTAGCACTCCACTGGTCTGTAATGTCACTAAGGGCTGTGACAATCAGGGGCCTCATTCAGCAAAATATATATTCAGTGGGTTTCCATGAGATGGGATCTGTAGAGCTTAATTCAGAGTCGAGAGACCAAAAATGTCGGTCTGTCTTTGCTATGGATCTTAACAAGTTTTTGTCTCCCCCTTCCCTTGCTGGTTTGCAAGTGAACGGGAAGGTGCATCTCCTCCAGTGCCTGTTTTTCTGAAAGGTAATAAATATGACAGGCTGTGTCAGATTCTGCTCTCAGCTTCACCTTTGTAAAACCAGAATAACCCCAGTCACTGTAATGGAGTTACTCTGTGTATGCACAAGTGTAACTGAAAGTTCCATGTCACCCAGTATGCCTGAAAGAATGTATGCTAAGGGATTCATCCTGCTTCCACCAAATTCAATGAAAGCAAGAGCAGACTGTAGAGGGCCTGATCCTGCTCTTATTAATGTCAGTGACAGCAGAATCAAGGCCATACAAGGGTACAAATGAAGAAGGTGCACACAAACTACCAGTGCCCTGGTAGATTAGGACTGCTAAATACACCATGCTGCTGTTGCATTGAGGTCTTTGAACCCAGGCCTTTTCAGTCTCTGCAACATAATATTTTCAACGAGCTCCATCAAGACCTTTCAGAATATGCTTTGGCATAGGTCTCATTTGTTCTCCAGTTTTATTTGTGTCTGTATGCCACTTTGTCAGGAGTTACCCACACTGCTAGCAAGAGCTCTTGAGGCTGGGTAATACACATCACATGATAATAGTTAGGATTATGTCTCTTGCAGAGGAATAGTCAGTTGTCTTTCTCCAGCCTGTGTTCTTTTTATGCTATTTTTGTGTGTATGGGATTTTTGTGGTTGTTAAAGCAATACATATGAGGATGTCATCACAAGAGATTTGCAGATGAACCTGGGGTAGAGGAGAAGCAGGGTGGCTAGATTTCCTTTCACTTACACCAGTTTAAATCTGGAGTAACTCTACCAAAGTCAGTGGAGTTAAACTCGTGTGAGATTCTGATCCAAAGTCTGACAGCAAAAGCCTCAGAAGGAAGTCTCCCCCAGTAGTGTTTTTCGCCAGGTTGCTGAAACTGTATTGTTGGGTTTAGCCAGGTTGGATTTGCTTTCCACAGATGGTCTTTGAGCCGGCTAGGCAATGAAATATGCGACAGTGATTTTTCTTAGAGAGAGGATGATACATTGGGAAACTAAGGCATTTTTGGCCTAATTGTCACTGAATAACAGACTAGGGCCCAATTCTGCATCTGGATCCGTGCAGTTTGATTCCTCACAAGCCACAGTGACTTCAGTGGGGCTCTGTGTGAGCATAGGGATTCACCCATATGCGTCCAGGTGCAGGATTGGGTCCCTAAAGTTGTTAGAAGCCTCTAATTTTCCTCAGAGGAAGCAGCACATACCTTTGCTTCACATTATTATTAATTATCATTTATATTACAATAATGCCCAGAGGGCCCAATCTGGGTCATGGGCCCATTATGCTGGAAGCTGCACAAACACATAGTAAGAGACAATCCAAGTCCCGAGGAGCTGACAATCTAAAATGACAAGAAGTATAGGAAAAGAGAGAGGGGAAGAGAGAGAGTCAAAATATACAGACTTCCCCTACCTAGCTGAGAGGGTATTCTCCCATTTTATGTTTTCCAGTCTATTTGTTGCTGAAGTATATGGCGCTCGCATTATGATTTGTTGCAGTAAAACATGCCACCCTAATTTGACCTTGGTCCCAACAAGAAGGATCTTCTCTGGGCCAAGCTTTCATTTATGCCTTGTTTAAACTACACTGCCAGTAATGCTTCCCTAACAGATAGGTATAAGTGTAGGGTTAGGAAAACCATTATGCTTCTAAGATTTGATGTTTGGGTTTCAATACTCATCAAGAAATCTTTAATAAACCTTCCATGTAGATTTTGAATGCTTGTTATTAAGGGAGCATGCCACTACCATTGTAGTTCAGAGCAAGATCAGCTATGAAAATCTCAGACACCCTGGATGGCTAAGTAAGGGGTGCTTTTGGTAAATCCAGAATAGAACTGTGTATTGGGGAAGAAGTATTATCACACCCACCTTTCTGAAATGTCCAACTGTAGCATTTCTTTCTCTTTACAAATGGTTTCTTCCTGCCCAAGTTTCAAGTTGACTATCCCTGATTTATGCCGTGTGGAAAATGACATGCATGGTTCAAATCATGCCAGTCAGTGGGCATTCCAAGTACCATACTTGCAAGATCAGAGCATAACTTTAATTTGAAATGGTCTGTAAAATAAATTAAAAAAAAAAAAAGTAGAACTCCTTTATTTAGTTTGTGTGGA